AAAGTTGAGGAGATCTCTGAAAGATGTTGGCCGGTTCGGGACAAAGTCTGGGACACAGCAGGCTATCGGCATCTCTAAGCGGTGTACTGTATCCGTCACTGTGTCTCACGTTTGCTCACTGTGTGCAACAGTGCCAAAGACTTACTTGCCATGGACATCGAGAGCCTTTTTCTCCCATGTAGCAACACAGTGAGCCTGTTGCTATGCTACATATTGATCTCGGCCTGTCCTTGCAATGTGCTAGCCTCCTGACAAGTACGAAAGAACATGAGCAGCCAGCGGGGTGGGCGGGCAGAGTTGATGCGGACCATGAACATGCGGCATTCCAATATTCCCGGGATGTTGTTACGCCCCGTGGGCGGGATTAAGGATTGGCATGGATCAAGCGGGGTTCAAACTCCGCTGCAGGGAGCTGCTGTCGACTTTCAAATTTGGCCCAGACCGCCAACATTCTGGTGAAGTTGTAGGTTGAAGTTGGCGGGATACTGCAGTCGGGACGCACAACTTGGTCCTTAGGCCTCAGGCCTCAGAGTTCTTGTACCGTGCTGGAGTTTTTGCGCTTTTATCTCTCGTTGCCACTCGGGGGCGGCGTGTTGAGTCTTGACGTTTGAAGAATACCAGTCCGCGATTCTACATATCACCACTATCCAACCTTTCTGAATTCGATCGGCAAACCCACCCATCCGAACTCAAGCAGCTCTTACGAGTTGTCATTTTACTGCTCAATCGCCTGAATATCTATCCAGTTCATCACCATCGATTTCACCTTCCTAGACATGTCTTTTCACCACTCAAACACCTCTACAGCTTACCCGAGCTCACATGATCAAGTTCAGACTTAGTATGAACATCTGTATGTTGCCCCAAAGTTTAAGATAGCTATCGCTCATTTTTTTTTGAATCCTTGGTTATCGTACTTTGGGGCGAAGCCTTATGATGGACACTACATACGTACTGTTGCGGCGTTCTACTGGAGTTTGTGTGGTGTGTACTCTAAGCAATGGTTCCAGCTTGCGCGGGAACGGTGGAGGCTTTCTTCAGGCGCTCGGGTTGATGGTGGCTGTTGGTGTTTTGCCTTCCTCTCTACTTTCCTTCGTCTTCTTCTTCCGGGGGGGTCACGTCGCCGAAAATTGTCTCCATCCTCCTCGTGCGTGCAATATACGTTAGCGTGGCTCTCATTCCCTTCTTCTCGCTCAAGAGGTACCTAACAGCTATCGCTCATATAATTCCTTACCGCACTGTCGAACCCAACAGTGACTACGTAGTACTTCCTTGAGTTGTCTCGGGGCTCATTCTATTGCATATTCCGTGTCATGACTTATCATCAATCTCTGTATTTTATTCTCCTAATCTACGTCTTGTTATCTGACCAGGGACCTTATTCACAGTGTCTCGATCATCTGAAAGAACTTGGAAGAAGTTATCCTAGGTCGCTGTCAAGGGTGTTGAACACGTCCGAGATGTTTGGATGGTACTCGGGAGACCCTTCTCAACTACATTCGTGAATTGCTGGATGACGAGGAGCAGAGTCGAATGATTTGGCTGCATGTTGCGGACCTACGGTGGGCGTCGAAAAGTTTACTGTCATATTCACTGTAGCCGAAAGGATGAGAGGTCTGCGCGAGTGTCCGGCTTTAGCGTTTGTTTCGATGCCCTTGATGAATGCGATACCGAAACTATTGCCGTTCTCGTTTCCCTGCTCGACTACATAAGCTCTCCGTGAACCGTGATCCACACCTCGTTCGCGAGTCACTCGGAAGAGCACATTCGTAAAGCCATGCAGACGGAAGAAATGCGCCCACTCGTATGCAAGATACCACTCAACACTTCTGGGGAGGGCGTTACTACCACGTGTCGTTAGACGGCGCAGATATTGACTAACAATGACATTTGCACTTCCCTATTCCAGCAGAGTCATCTTTTACCAGACATAGAGATCAATCGATCACGCTATGGCCGCATTTGCAATTTTCACAGAAGAAATACGAGGACGAAGTTATTCAGCTCCTGACGCTTTCGAGTATGCATGATGAAGCTGGCCCCTTCCATCTCTCGCGGGCTCCAATGCTCGACCGATATTTAAGGTTTTTCGGAATTGTCATCCCCTCTCCTGGCTCGAAGCGCAATGGTGTTCAAAGGATCTGCCGCAGTCTTGTCTCGCAGTTTTATCTGAAGGTCACTTACAAAGGTGGTTTTTTTCTGACATTCCGATACTTCTCGAGACTCAGCATCTCACCTGCGCATATAGGAACATCTTTTCCAAACCCCAGAAGCATCTCGGTCCAGGGTTTGAATTTGTCGATTTTATGACTGTCATGGAGTCGCACGTGTATATGGCGTTCACGCTAAGCAAATCCGTTTTCCTATGATTGCAGTATATCCAACGCTTCCAGGCCATAAATTAGTTGTCATTGAGTCACCCACTTGAAATAATAGAATTTTGGGACTCCAAATGCCATTGTCGCGGCTTGAATGGATACAAATCTGCTCCTGTTAAATTTATCTTACTTTAGGTTCTAGCAATGGTAATGCATTGGGTGGTCAATAGCTAAAAAGACACAATACCGCTACGGTCTTACTATACAGTCAACGTTATGCTCAGCGGTGTTTCCTTTTCCCTCCTAACACACCTTTGGCTACTTTTTCAAAAACTCCTTCTAAATTGTCCGCCGTCTCCCAACCGTCTCCACCTGGAGTCGGTGCCCGCCTCCCATGGATACTGTAACAATAGAATTTCCCGCCAAGTACAAGGATAGCCATAAATTCATCATGGGGATCCTTCGAAGCCAAAACCTCGATGTATTCATGCAACTGGGCGCCCGCCGATTGATATGTCCCTCCCTCCTTCTTTACCTCGATACACACCAATGGAATGTCTCGGTTATCACCCACATGGACGATAATGAAGTCCGGCTCGAAGTAGGAGTCACGGGTAACTGGAGTGCCCATGGAGTCTAAAGATAATCCTTCATCTTCAAACGGCTGATTATCGTCTCCATCATCGGGAAGAGCACTACGCCTGATTTTTGGCTGCGGCTTGACCATGAAGCAATCTGCCGCGAAAACGTGATTGGCGAGTTTATCGAGTGGCCCGTACCACGATGCTTCATAACGAGGGGGATTGAGATGCAACTCGTGCAAACGCTGCTTCCAAGCAGGAACTTTTGGCATGGTGGCTAAGAATATTGTGTTCACGGTCAGAACTCAGAACGAAGTATACATTGACTCACTGGGGGAGAAAGTTATGATATGTTGGATGGCCGTTCAATAAGTAAGAAGAACACGTCTTTTAAGATACTCAGCTAGGAGCTTCCATTAGGCAGTTGTGGTCACGCAATCAGCAGCTATGGTTACAAGAAGCATTCGTGGTGGTATGTGGGACGCGATAGTTGAAAAAATGTACCACAAATGTTGGCCGCCCACTGATCGGCAAACAGGCGGGTAACTAACTTTGAGTTCCGAATGGGGCCTCGGCTTGAGGAACAATGCTAAATGATTTTCAAAACATACGATAATTATCCACCTACTAATGCGACAACCGGATCAGAGCCTGACGGTGCTCGAAAGACAATGTCCGGGCTGATATTGAAGTTGGTCACCTCCGGCTGATAGTGGCAGAACAGGTAGTGCGACAATCGGATCAGAGAACTTAAAGGGCCCACCCTGAAATTGAAGAAATCCTGAAGATTCAAGAACAATGCCCTCGGCGGTAGAAATTTCGAAGAACCTCCCAATCATGTTCGTCCGATAGATCAATGATCAATGATCTGATCATATTGAGTTACACGGTGGCAAGCACGTGACCCTTTATGGTTTGGTTTAATAGGCGCGTTGTGAGTCGCCACCTAACGTCACAGTCTAAACCAAAGTCTCCCAACTTGATCTTATATTTCTTTTCTGACAAGCCGTACGTTCATGAGGTACTTTATTGCCTATGCATGGCTTACGATATTTTCCTCTCCAGAATGGTGCTCAAAATAGCCGGCTGGGTGTTCAGCTTCGAGCAAGCGCGCGCATGGTTAAAGAAGCAAGACCACCCATACCAGCATTCGCCAGACGAGTTCCTTGCTACCGAGCTCAATTTCTGGTTCAGAGAGAGAAAAATCGATTATCTGTGGGCCGTCGCCACCGACTATCCTCGAGGGAGCATGCAGCCAGTCATCGTATTGGCCCGAAGGCGCAGAGAAGATCCCAAGTCGACGGTGTCCCGTTTCTATCGCGTCAGGGAGTTGGATGCGGACCGTGAAGTGAAGAAGCAGGTGTTAGAAGAGAGTGGACTGAATGATGAAGATTTGCCTTGGGTCACTGTTGCGGATCCATTTCTTGAATACTGATTGTTGTCGCTTAATCAAAATGGGGTGCCCGCTCGGGAAATGCCGGATACGAGGGAGGGCCAGAGGCATAACCTTGGAGGTCAAACATGCCAGTCTGAGCATCAAACGAGCATAAAGTGTATATTATGGCATCAAAATTGATGAAATACAGATCGATCGTCTTAGCTAGATTGCAGGAAGTGGTAACAAATAATAATTGAGCTGACTGAGGCCCAAACGCACACCCTGGACATCCCAGCAAGTTGAGCGGTTTCCCAGTCTCTCCGTGCCAGACGATGACCTCTCCGTTAGAGTCTAAGTTAGAGTCACCGCTTGCTATCATTTGCCCATCACGTGATACACGAAGCACCTTGTCCTCAGTAGGGTACGGACGAAAAGTCGGTTGTTAATAACCCTGCTAAAAAAGGTGTGTTATTAACATGTTTTTAACATGTTATTAACACGCACACGGCGATGGGGTGGTGACATGGTGCTAATAAGTCTGTCGACCCCCATGGTCTTGGTGGGTTGCGTTCTAATCTTCCGCCGTTCCTCGCAGATCATTAATCATTAACTTAGAAGTTTGCAATGCAAATCTTGCAGAGAAGCAAGCCGTTGTCTGACATGGGACTTGAGTCTCTCGCAACGAAAATTTCAACTCTTTCTCGCACCAGTTGAGCACTCAAAATGGCCGACACAAAAGCCTCAGATACTAATGTTCTCCTTATTCCTGCCTCCGTGCAATCTATTATTCTTCCAGATCAAAACTTATCTGTCTCGTCATTCCTCCAATTTTCACTTCCGTCAGCTTCAATTACCACCGCTCCACCACTGCGCAAATACTTTAGTACTGACTGCCCGCCCAAGGACAGCTCCAAGTCATATCTTAATTATCTCCGTGCGCAGCCCCTTCCCCGCCTTTCGGTTCTGCACCAGCTCCTAGAAGGCGTGCAACGTGCAAGATTAGGCGGTAGCCAGTCTATTGTCTATGCCCATGCCAACCTCAATCAATCTTTTCCGTTCTGGATCCTGACATATTGGCGCCAAGCCCATACTCTCCTTGACATCCAAAGTAAATGGCGACAGGCAGGAGCCTTCCTCACCAAGTGTCAACCTAGTCAAGATGAAGAAGACACATGGCTCGATGAGATGCTAGCAGGTAAACCAGCGGAGGATTCGGCCTTCGACATTGAAGCAGATGCAAACCTTCATGCACCAATTGTTACCAAGGCCTTGTCTGATGAACGCATGGACAGTCCTGTCAACGGCTTTGGTAGCGCTCAAGACGATTCTGCGGAGGATGATGCTGACCTAGAAGGCATGGACACCGAGTGGAGCGAAGTTTGGTAGTACCTGTAGCGAAATTTTCGATTTTGGGGTCACGTGATAGTTAATAACATGTTAATAACATGCTAGTTAATAACCCTACGCAAGCACTTGATTATTAACATAGGTTAATAACACCACGCTGACTTATCGTCCGTACCCTAGTCCTCAGAGCCCGCAAGTTGCAACCATCCGTCGTTTATCGGGAAACACTGTGACCGCCTTTAGCATTGGACGCGGTCGAGGTGGACTTTGGAGGGATTGTGGGTGTCTTTCAGATTCTTTCTGCAGAGGTGCGTGTGTTGGGTGACTTCCAAGTTCCTGTACGCTAGATAATCCAGATTATCATACCAGAGTGTGAAAATGTCTCCACAGCTGCTGCAGAATGTGTCCCATCGCATTAAATAGATACTTGGTGCTTTTCAGCGCTCGAATTTGACCATCTATCCTGCATGTTACCTTTGTGTCGAGCAGCTACTCCAGCCTGAGCATAGTACCACCATGTCAGTCCTTAGAACGCATGCATATAGCTTACTGCAATGTTACCCCTTCATCGAGCCTCCTCCCAAGGCCTCCTGATGCGCCAGATGCAGCCGAAGTTTTCCCCTCTGACGTCTCAAACTCGTCACCAATTCTGTTGTGGAGGAGCACTACTTCCAGCACTCTGTTTATGAGTCATGACTGATATTTACTTTGAGCTTCTCCTACCAGCCTCCTGGCCCACTGGTTTAAGTTCTTCCCTTCGCCAACCTCCTCTCAAGTTCATCATCATCGGAATACTGCACCACACAAATACCGGTGCAACATGGTCGCTAGCCTCGGCGAGCCCTCACCGCAGATGCTACGCGAGCCCTGCGTTCAAAGGATTGCCATCGCGGATGGTTGTGAGCGCCACCTACCATGAGTCCCCAGAGACCAAGTGAGGTTCACACCAGTTCTTTTGCCAAAATTCTCATCCTAATTATCATGTGCCAGGCGCTGCATGATTGATTTTTGATCGAGTTATAATTATTCTCGAATGTCTTGTGCTATCTCCAGAATTAGTGCATCCTGAAATGACGGATAGTCTGATTGTAGCGCGACGAGGCCCACCTCAAAGCTATTTAGCAGTGCACCCGCATACACATCTCTATCTACGGCTCTGTTCTGTACATTTCTTGCAAGCTCCAGAAGCATCTCGGTCGAGGGTAATTCGTCGATATCATGGCTGTCTTGGAATTGCGCATGTATCATAATGGCGTTCGTAAGCAACTTCATTTTTCTATGGTTGCAACATTCCAGGTCATCGAGTCACCCACTTGAAGTAATCGAATTTCGGGACAATTCGTCTGTGCGAACCCTACATAAAGAAGTATCAGCACACTCATATACACACCACATATAGGAGTGTATTAAGGAATGTCGACATTAACAGCACCTGCACATTTGGGGGCAAGTTATACGGTGCCGAACAGGATACAGTACCCATCGGGTAGTGTGTCAAAACGTGCAACAACAGTTGATCAAGCGGAAACGGTTACTGGTGTAGGCAATGAATCCATGTTGGGAGCGATTGTAAGGTACCCCTGGTTTTGCGGAGTCAGATTCAAGTGGATGAACCTTGACTCGGATGCTCAGAAGGCCTAGGAAGATAGTCGTTGTCCTGAAGATTTTATTTTAAGATATACTGTAGTCGTGTTGCACTTAAGGGACTGGGTGGGTGGGTCCGCCCATCAACATCTCAATCACGATATCATGATTTTAATATGACTTGATGAAACTTTCCATCTAGAGCATGGTGGCACAGCCACAGGCGTTGTTTGGCAACAGCCTTAGGAACAAATATGGCGCGTCTTCAAAGCTTCAACGTTGCAACATCATCCTTGAAAGCTTGATATTGCGCAGGTGGCAGGCACGTCAATTGACGGCACAACTTACTTTGAATAGACGTCGATCATCATGGCGGACGCAACGGCGTCCTTCAAAGACGTCCCAGAGCTGTTCGAGGTTGGCATAATTCTCATAGCTGCGTACCAATGTCAGGCTTACTTTGTTTCAGGTTGAACTTGGAGAAGCTTTAACAGCAAGGACCGAAAGCCTTTGTCAGTCAAGCATGTTCTTGCCTTACTTATTGAAACATTGACAATGTATCATAGCGACATTCCGTGAACTTGGCCCCCCAGACCTCTGTCATATTGTGAAGAGTACAGGACGTACTGGACAACGCGATGTGAGTTCCAACATCTAGGATCTGCGGCGCCTATGCTGATTATCAGTTAGATTGGCTCATATCATTTTGTGTCTGGAGTGGATGCGTCCTCTTCAGCATCCCTCGCCGCCTACATCAATTCTCTCACATACTCTATCGAGGACAACTCTGCTTGGTTTTCGAAGAGTACAGCATGGAAAGTTAGGAATGGCTGTTATTGGTTTGTTCTCATGACTGTTTACCTCCATATATGCTGAACGCTTTGTTAAAGTTGTTTCAACGCGTTTTCTCGCGTCGATATCCGTGTAGATGTGAAGATCCCTGGAGGTGTCGTTGCCTATGTTGTGGACCTTCGTGGCGAGCGGTGCGTATTTTATCATAGCACGTATCGAGTCATTGATTGTGTTTGTGGACTCTAGACACGAAGCGACTCCAGAAATATGGCAAGAAACATACCTCTCTGCGCTGCTTCGGGCTATCCTCTACTCCGACGACCCGACTTACTGGCTGGAAGCTTACCGCAAGCTTGATCCTATCACTACAATCGAAGGCGAACTCCGATTTCTACAGGCCGCTGAGGCCTTGTTTATGAAGGGTGAGTGCTTCACCTTTCGCTTTGTTTGTTGTTTGTTGCTTGTTGCTTGTTCAAGAAACTGATCGCAATGTAGGCTGGCAGGTCGGGTCAGATCCTGAGATACAGGTTGCTACTGTGGTTTCTAACCACTTGACTGCTGGTGTAATGAAGTACTTCAGCAACAGTGGCCGCTGTCAGCCAGCAGCTAATTTATTCGAGAAACTAGCTGCACGAGAGCCGGAAATTGCCTCGCTCCTGGCAAGAAGTTACATTGGAATGAGTGCGCTTGTTTCTCCCTCTTTCCAAGATACTGTCTCGCCTGACATATTTTATGACAAGATGAGGAAGTAAAGGCAGTCCAGATCATGTCTGCTGCCATGAAGCATACTCCACACTCTTACACCCTTCTCCACGTACAAAGCGATTTCCTTCGTTCCAAGGGCAGGTCCGACTGGGCATTGAAACTCGCGAAAGAGGCTGTTAACTGTGCACCGAGTGAATTTGTTACTTGGGAAAAGCTCACCGAGCTATACATCGATACAAAGGACTACGAATCGGTATGCAACTTCCTTGAGTGCAGTCAATTTCACTGACCGCCACCACAGGCGCTTTTAACGCTGAACTCATGTCCAATGTTCACTTTCAATGGACGTGATGCTCACCGTGCTCTTGTACCTGCAAAGGTCCACTTGCCATTCCAGCGCCAGATCGGTGACATCCTCCCTGAAAAAACGAAAAGTGAAGATGATGTGGTTCGTGAGATTATTATATTGTCATTCCCATCTCATGTCTCTTCAGGCTGATCCTGCCCTCCTTCGCCTTCCTGCACCGGGTCTTCGTGGAACGTGGGCGAGGGCCTATTCCTTGCTCACACGTCTTGTCTCTGATATAGGCTGGGACGAATTGCTGAAGACGCGGAGTGTAGTGTTTGTTATGGAAGAAGAGTATCGGATGCAAAAGGCCCAGGCAGACATCCAAAAAGTGGCGACCAGCCACAGTGCACAAGATGTGAATGAAAATATCGCAGTGATTCACGAGGATGGCTCTGTGACCGCAGGGAATGCAACTCTCGCAGACGATGACGCGTCTACACGAGGGATGTCAAGCCCCCTCTCGGAATCGGAGAGCAAGCCTGAATTTGAGAATGGGCTGAATGTTTCCGCCATCCCGATTATCCGTGTGTCCTCAGAATCTGACACGGAACGCGAAATTGCAGAGTCCACTCGTAATGGCGTTGCGGAACAGGAAGAGCAAAGCATGACACTCGAGAAGCCAGTGCAAGCTGCTGCCGGGGAGGAGCCTGAGCCATCACAGGCGTCAAACTCCTATCAGGAGGCGTTCTCATTCACAAACAAGCGCCTGTGTGAGCGGTGGCTAGATAATCTGTTTATGGTCCTTTACGAGGTAAGAATCACTCCGCAATGGGCAACTTGCTCCTTGACAACAACATATCTTCCCAGGATTTGCGAGTGTGGACTATCTTTCGAGCAGAAGTCGCACATTTCAAAACACAGCACGTTGCGTACCGGAAAACTGGCATCGAATGGGAGATCCTCGGAGACCTAGGCATGCGCTTACACCACAAAGAGGAGGCTAAAGAAGCTTATCAGCGATGCCTGGATACTTCGCGTTACTCCCAAAAACCATGGGCGAAGCTATTAGAAATGTATGCCGACGAAGGAGACATCACACGCACAATCCAGGCTGCGATACGAGTAGCAGCATACCAGTATGCTGATTACACAGAGATGACCGTATGTGATGCCCCTCTTGCATAGGGATATAGCTCACCTTGTTCACAGTATCCAACGCTGATTGCGCGGTGCTTCTTCAAGTTGGGCCAAATTCATGGCCATGCCAAGATATCGTTTACTCTTCTGAGCATGGGTTTACCCGACCCGATCCTGAAAATCATGGATAGCTACCTTCAATATGGGAAGACTTTTAAGGTGGAGGGATATGACTTTTAATCACTATGTAGTTTTGTTCTTTATCCGTCGTACTGTTCTGATACCTACATTGTGATTCATGTGAATACTTCGCTTCGCTTGGGATCAATGTCCGCCATGGCCACATGATTGGTGGCGAAAAGTGGCAGGTTCATGATTCCCTTTCTAAGCATCCGAACGTTTAGTTGTCAATCCACAAACGTTTCTTTCCGTTTCCTCAGTCAACGCCCGCCATCCCATCATACTTATTTGAAAAGGCGTAGTATCAGAGACTTCAGTGGTTAGGAGATGTATAGTGAGCTTGACATCATGG